GCCTGCACAAGAGTGGTTCGGGTAGCTCAGGCTTGGGACCATAGACAATTTTGATCAACTGTCGAGGCAATTCATGGCCCAATTTGCATCCAGTGCCACGCCAAAGAAACATTTTAGCTCGCTGACGAGCGTCCGCCAGGACATCAGGGAATTCTTCTCCGACTTCCTTATCAGGTGGAGGGATGAAACTTTAAAGGTCGGGGACCTTATGGAATGCACTGGCATCACCCTCTTCACAAACGCTTTGGCAACCGGGGATCTATATAGAGATCTCAAGAAGAACCGGGAGCAGTTATGCTGAAGTACTAGCCCAAGTGCAGAAGTATGTGGTCATCGAAGAGGAGATCGCCTAACGAGATAGGGCGCCAACCGCTACGACCCACAGGATGGTGGATCGACTGGGCCCAAGGCCCGAAGAAGCCCCCCATCCAAAAAGAAAACGATGAGCGGTGGGCACACCCCATCGACGCACCACAATGCACAATGGGAGCCCCCCCCCCCGTGAATACACCCCCTTGGTGCTCCCGATGTCGCAGATCTTCGAACACATCAAGGGCCAGGGTATCCTAACTAAACCCAAGGACAAGGGGCCCCCGATGGGCAACCGCCCTGAAGTGCACACAACGCCATCCTCGGTAGACCAGACTTGGAGGACCTTGAGGCGATCAGTTCCGTGCGGCATTCCTGCATCAAGTTCCCACTAAGACAGGAGTAGGGGTAGCCCGCACGGATCGGCATACAGCCAGGGCCTGCTAAAAAGACTGAGACATGCTGGTCAACAACATATCCGAAACCGCTCGGAGGACAGATATTATATCCAACCCAGAGCTGGCGACGCTGCTTGAGGAGGTCGAGTTGGACGTCCCCTCAGACAGGAAGATCTCAATTGGGGCGGATCTGGAGTTCGAGATCTCAGAAGGAGTGATCCTTGGCCTTTCGACCTGATGCCAAGCCAGTACAACAAAAGAAAAGGTACATGACGATCAAACGAAGGGATTTCATCAAGGTGGAGGTCACCACATTGCTCAGCATCCGCCATATCCGGCCGATCATCCATGTAGAATAGCTATCCAACGTTGTGTTGGCGCTGAAGGGTCCTACATGGGGGATGTGCGTCAATCACTCAGATCTAAATATAGACTGCCGAATGGATCCCTATCTTGTAGATGAAATCGCGGGCTGTGAACTTCTCAGCTTTATGGATGCTTTGTAAGGCTACCACCAGGTAGGGATGGACCAAACCGGGCCGGAACCGGCCCAGCCCGCTACTGTGCGGGCCCGGCCCGGCCCGAGGGGGGGGGGGGGGTCGGTTCAGGCACAGTTCACAAAAATGGAGGCTCGGCCCGGCCGGTTCAGGTCCGGTTCGGGCCTAATGGCTATATTTAAAAAAAATCTTTTGGCCAACCAAACAGGCCTTATACCCGTTGGGATTCAACCCAAAAGGCTCTATAGCCGTTGGGAGCCTGCCAGGGGGTCCCGGGGGGTGGGGGTGGGGGAGTGTGGATACAAAAAATCTATAAATACTCCATTTTTCTATACAATTTACTACACATCTTCTCCAAATATTCCTACTCTCTAATCTCTATTCTCTACTAATCCTCTCCATCTTCATCTTCTCAAATTTATAACTACATATATTATATTTATAAAATTTATTATCTACTTATTAGTTATTATCTACTTATATTAATATCTAATTATTATATTATTGTTACTTATATTTATTTACTTATATTTACATATTACATATTACATATATAATTATCTCTAATTTATCTACTTATATTTACATATTACATATACTTAATATATACTTATATATATATTAAAGTATTATATATAAGTGTATTACTCATTTTATAGTAATATACTTATATTATATATACTATAAACATAATATTTTATATTACTAGTTAATCTACTTATTATCTACTTATAAATATATATATTAGGTATATCTACTTATTATACACTTATTATCTACTTATCCAATTGCTTATACACTCTCACACTCCCATTAATTTAGTTTACACACTCATACATTCTTTATCAATATAAAACTAGTTAATTGTTTCACTTATCATTTTAGTATCAATTCATTGCTATAAAAGTAGTTAATTGTTAGTTGTTAGTTTATTGGAAATAGTTACATTAAAAATTGTTAGACAATAATTGTTTGTTTGATTGTTAAACTAGTTAATTCGAAATTAATTGTTTAATTGTTAAACTAGTTAATTGTTAGATTTCTTATTCTCCTACAAAACTAGTTAATTGTTAAACTTGTTAAATAAAGTTGTTACATTTTAAAACAAATAGTTCAAATCATAGTAGTTAATTGTTACATTTATTATTCTCCTATAAAACTAGTTAAACTTTATTATTCTCCTATAAAACTAGTTAATTTTCACATTTATTAATCTCGTATCATAGTAGTTATGAAAACTAGTTAAACTTTATTTTTTCATCAGCGTTGTGCATGTCATATTTTAAAGGGAGAACTGTCAAATTAGTCCTCGTAGTATATCAAAAAAGTCAATTAGACCCTCGAACTAAAAAAACACCCAATTAAATCCACCAACCCTAGAAAAACACTCAATTATATCCTTTTCTCATTTGAAGATTCGATTACCCGGTTGTATGTGTGATGTGGCAGTCAACTTATTTTTTAATTTCCTTTTCTAGTTTTTTTTTCTTGTTTTTCTTTTCCTTCTCTTTCTCTCCTCCTGCGACGCTCTTTTTCATTGTGCTGCTTGTTCTTCAATTCATTTCTTCCTTTCCTTTCTTCCCTTCTTTTCTCTTCTTCCTTCTTTTCTCTAATTCTATGAGTCTGAAATTTTGTCAACCAAGAACGAGCTCGGTGCACCAGAGGTGTAGAACATGAGCGGCGAAATTTCGAGCTTGTCGGCCAAGGATAGCAGCACAACGGTGCCGGAAGTATGGAATTGAAGATGTTTGCCGGAATTTTGAACTCTTCGACCAATACACCATCCGTGCCGGAGGAGTAGAAGATGTACGCTGGAATTCCGAGCTTGTCAGCCAAGCCACCATCGTTGCCGGCGGGGTAGAAGACTTACGCTGGAATTTTGAGCTCACCCTCGCCGACAAAGACCGGAAGTCCGGCACCAATGACGCCTCAGCAAGAAGGTGAATATCTCCTCTGCCTAAACCGCCCTCTTCAAATCTTTGCCGAAGTTCGTCACTTGAAGAAAGAAAATGGAGCAACAATACGGGTGGGAACTGGGAAGAAGTGAGGGGAGAAAGGAGAGAAAGGAAGAAAAGAAGAAAAGTTTCCTCGTGAGAAGAAGGAACAAAGAAGATGAAAGGAGAATGGGTCCGAAGGGAAAATGGATAGAAAGAAAAAAGAAACTGAAAAAAAATAAAAAAATATTTGGTCTGCCACATTAGTCAAATGACCGGGTAACCGGTTATCACAGGTAAAATTTTAAATTTGACTGTTTTTTTAAAGTTGGTGGGCTTAATTGGGTGTTCTTTTAGTTCGAGGGCCTAATTGACTATTTTGATATAGTATGAGGGCCTATTTGATAGTTTTCCCTATTTTAAATTTATGTGTAGGCCCGACCCGAACCAGACCCGGTACCACCCCGGACCCGTTATCTTCTTTGATGGGTACGTTTTTTCATCAGCTTTAATATTTAAACAAAAAATAAATAAATAGCTCAGGCCCGGCCCGAACCAGCCCACTACCCGGCCGGGTAGGCCTGACACAGACCGGACCCAGTATCACCTCGGGCCGGTTCTGGGCCCATATTTCCTAAAAAAAAACGCCTGAGCCCGACCCAGAACCGGAACCGGACCGGCCCGGGTCCAACCCTACCACCAGGTGTTCATGCACCCCGACGATGCAAAGAAAACAACATTCGTAACGTCTGACGACGTGTATTGTTATGTCATCATGGCATTCTTCCTGAGAAATGCCATGACAACCTATGACAACATTTCAGAAGATGATCAGGATATTGTTCAAGGAGGTCCTCCACATAATCATGGAGGCCTACGTGACCGATATCCTAATCAAGAGAAAGAAGAAGGGGGACCACATCCAAGACATGGAGAAGGTATTCAGCATTATGCAGAGGGCCAACATGGGGTTGAACCCAAAGAAATATGTCTTTGCCGTCAAGGCCCAAGGGTGGGAAATTCCTCGAATATATATGAGTGAACGAGGAATTGAACCAAAGTACCAAACCCCGAGAAGTTCAAGGCTATCATGCACATGGAGGTACCCCAAAACCCGAAGGACGTACAACGGCTCACTTGAATCCCGATAATTACTATTCATATTTTTTAGTAATTAAAACATAAAAGTAATAACATAAATTAAAAAAATATAAAATCAAAAACTAAAAAAATATTAAAAAAATATGCAAGCCACAACAACCTCTCAACACCAACAACTTCGACCACGGGAAAAAAAATGCAAACATGTATCAAAAATGTCATCTCAATGACAATTATTGATAACATTTGGACATTTTCAAAGAGTAAAAATGACATCTTCAGGACAGTTTCAAAGAAAAATAGCAATTTTTACACAAAATGGCAATTTTTCGCCAATCGAAGGTAGCATTGTTTGGCAATGGTCAAGGATGTGAGAAAGGCCTCTATATTTTTATTTTTTAATGTATTTTGTCTATTTTTAAATGTTTTCAAAGTATTTTATTTTTAAATACTTTCAAAGTATTTTTTTAATTATTTTTTGACTTTTAATATTTTAATATTTTTTAAAATATTTTAGAATATTTATGTTTTTTATAATTTTTTGTACAAGTAAATATATTTTTTAATATTTCTTGTTTTTATTACATATTAAAATATGATTATCCTATTAAGCTATGGTAAGGGTAATATAGGAAGATAAGAGTATATTTTTTTCCTATTTTCTATTTGGGGAAGATAAATAACATAGTCCTTGTGCATTTAGAGATTAGTTTAGTCCTGTTTAGGGTTATTATCCTATTAAAAAAAGGTTACTTGGTGTCTTGGTCAATGATAAAACAAGTCGCATTTCACATATGTGAGAAAATATTTCTGGAAATGTCTTGGCAAAGGTAAGTTCGCTCAATTTATAATGAGTATTAATGACTGGGTAACTTAAAATGGCCCCAGTCAGAACCTCATTATATCAATATATCCTACCCCGCCTGACCTACCTCAACGAATAAGCTCAGCTAGGAAGAACAAATAAGCTCAGCTAGGAAGAGCGAACAAAGAATATATACTAGGTGTCATTTGAAAATCTTGATGTGGTCATTGAACGGCCATTCATGAGCGCCAGAACACATCAGGATCATTACTGTACAACGTGCGGTCCTGTATCTCAAGGTTAGCCACATGGTAGTTAATAAGTTTAGCTTGAGCGGTTTTAATTAGACCAAGCCCCAATGGCAGCATCCACCATCCAGTTTCATCCCTGCACAAACCCCACAATTTCACGAATAAGTTTAATCACTTGCATTTGATGGCGCGGATTATACCAAGCTGGAAGTAGTATTTTACTTGCTAAAATTCCAGGATTGGATGTTTAAAAGCTTTTTCGTTGCTGATGACGACTGGCTTTCAAAATGAACAAATCCGCATAAGAATGTGACCACCTGTTACAGTAGTATGAATGCATGAGATGATAATCCCCATAGCTGAACAACCCAAAAAAGGGAAGAGCGTGTTCTGGTTTGACTTACGACATTGATGATAGAGATTATATTCCATAGAGCATAAACTCGAGCAAGACCTGCTGAACGTCTAGGCCCATGACTGAACAATGCATTAATTCCTGCTGGAAAAGGCAGAAGTATGCCGAGTGGAATAATAGACAAGACCAGAACCACATCCAGTAATGAGATAGAATACAACTGAAGTAATGTTAATAAGACCAAGCTAAAATCTCCTAAGAGGAGTATTGAGATGACCAAACCAACAAGATCCTGTAAATACAATAATGATAAATAATAATGAACATTAGTTTTACCACATAATGTTGATGACACTCGAAACAAATTATGCGTACCAATTTTAAGTCATTAAATGTGTGTGTACCTGATGGCCAATAGGTTTAGTATTGCACACTATATAATAAGAGAGATAACTGACAGTGAATCTCTCTTTAAGTGCCTTCATGTTCCTAGAGTTCAAAATTTCTCCCGGAAGTATCCTCTTTTGTGTTAGAACATGCTCATTAACTCGAACAAGATCAAATGCTCTTCTCCAACGTGTACCGGGCAACCTACATACATAATATAGAAAAGAAATTTAAAAGAAACAAACGGATAAAAACAACTCATCTAAGATCACATTGCAAACAGTTACCGTGGTTGTTTTTCATTCGTGAGAGATTTTCTCGGGGAGTCGATGGATGACGGTGCAAGATCATTTTCCACAGCGCATAGCAGAAGTCCAAATTGATGATATCCACTCGCTGAGGGGTGGAAGCGGGTTAGATCAATGTGTATGCCATGTGCACGTAATGAAGGATTCGCATGAGTCTCAAGCCAATTAATAATTGGGGAAAGGGTAGCTCTTAGATGTCCACAGCGAACTAAACGAAGTCGAGCATTCAGACCAGCCACCAGACGGTACCATAGTGTTGGTGGAACTGACTGCAATGTTGAAAAGTACAACTCTTTATCAGAACTCGAAATTAAGTACAATGGAGGGGCCATTGGGTAGCCAAAAGTGGCTTACTCTGCTATAACCAGAGTAAGTAGCTTCTGGCTTATAGCCTGTTTGGGATGACTTCTGAAAGAGAAAAGCACTTCCTTAAAATTTCAAAAGCAATATATTATAGCTCCTGCTCCCTCCGTCCCAATTTGATGGTCGGTCTCATTTCTTTTGGGCACAAGTTTTAATAAAGTGGTTGAAAAGGTAAAAGTTGTGGTTGAGATTTGAGTATAATAAAGTGAAATGATATGGACCACATCTTTCTTTCCAAAAAGGGAAACAGGACCATCATTTTGGGACATCCCAAAAAGGAAATACAGGACCATCATTTTGGGACGGAGGTAGTATTAAATAAAATTATTTTACAGAATTTAAGATATAGGTGTTTGTGTATCTGCAAATACAGACTTGAGAGTTTCAAGACAACATCCAATCCTTAATCCCAAAAGTGTTTGGGGTCGGCTAACATGAATCAACATATGACATTGGAGTTAATAGCAATAAATTGAGAAAAAGGGAGAAACAAAATCAGATCAATCCTCCACACATATACTCTAACTCCCCTTTGATCTCTCCAAAATCACTCTCATCTAACTCGAGATGCTAAATCACTCTTGACCACTCTACAGTCTACTCCACATTTGTCTAGGTCATCCCCTCCCACTCATCATTGCCTTCCCTTCACACCTCTCAATTCATCCAATAGGTGCATCACACGGTCTTCTGCACACATAGACAAATCACCTCAAATGAGATTCTCACAACTTATCTTCAGTATGTGCTACTCCCACTTTTCACTTGATTGTCTCATTCCTTAAGTGCTATTTTCTAATATGTTCACACAACCATTGCAACATCTCAGCAACACACATCATCTTTTGAACGTGACATTGTCTCAACGCCCAATACTCTCTGTCATACAATAATGCAACCTATATATTATTCAATAAAGCTTAAGCTCAGTCTATTCGGCGTATATCAACACACTGGTTTCATATGAATATTACTACCCCATCCCATTGTATTGTCCTGCTTTGGTTTGGCACAATTATAAATAAAGACATGAAGTGGTTGGATAAAGTCAAATGTTGTACTACCTCCGTCCCGCTATGATTGTCCCATTTTACCTTATCGGTCCGTCCCACTAAGACTGTCTCATACCAAATTTGGTAAAGTTTGTGTGGCTCTAAATCATTCTTACTTTATTCTTACTTTATCAATTCAATAGCAACCACATAAACCACTTTTTATTAATTTGCGTGTCACTCCCTCTTGTCCCATTGTTAGCGGGACGGAGGGAGTAGACTACATCTTTTTTTTCCAAGAAAAGAAAATGTGACACTTATTTTGGGACAACCCAAAAAGGAAAGTAGGACATGTAAAATGGGACCGAGGGAGTAAAAAAAACTTACTTAACAGGCTGAGTCCCAAAAAGACCAAACTCCAAATCATATCTAATATTACGTATTAATTTAGGCAAACCTGACTCAGTAGGCTAGTTAGTATGTTATCACTGTGGAGATAGAAAGGAGCCATGTATGATCCATTTCCTCCAAAGACTACAGACAATGGAAACCGTTGATGAAGGCGGGGAGGCATGTCTGTTCGCTTCTCATCTCCGCCAAGGAAAAAGTCTACATATGAAAGCATAAGATCTGAAGTAGCGGACACCTATATAAACAAACCAATATATCATCAGCAACAACTTCTATATGCTAAATAGATACAAGTGCGGATCACAACAGGGACGCTATCAGAGAATCCTAAAAGCTGTTCGTCACTTGTGCAAGAATTTCAGATGGAAACATATACACATGGGCTACGTTAATCAGATGCACAAGAGGTAAAATAAGAAAAATATATTTCCGCAAGAGGTGGTATAAAAAAGTCATAGCAGGCTAATTTTGACATAAAAGGGAATTCATTTATCAAAATTTCACAAAACAAACTAATAAAAAGTTAGAAAAATGTTCAATATGGTAAATTGAGTCAATGTAAAATACAATTTATAAAAGAAGTAGGATTCCATGCTTTTTAAGAGTTGACTTCGCGGAAAATAGAAGTTGAAAACTTCCACAAATCAAATATTGTGCCTTAATCAAGCAAGACTCTTTTTTTGGGACAAAAGGGGATTAGCCTAGGTGTTTACTCAGATAAGGAGGACAACAGAACTTCTTTGTAAATTTGAAATGATTCAATACCATAAGTTGGTAGCATAGGAAACTGATTTTGAATTTCCATATATGAATTTGGAGAAATTAATTATATTAGCCATATATGTGGCAATAATAATAGGCATGATGATAAATAACTTGAATATGTAGGCCTAAAAATGGCTAATCAATTTAAAGAATGAATAGAGGAAATCATAAGCACTTTGAGACCCTCGTAGAGTGCACGAGAACGGCAGGAGCGCAAACAAGCATGATCATATTCTGATCTAACAAAGTCACGGAGGCGTTGAATTTTCTTCTTCCGGCGCCACTGCAACCATGACCATGCCAGTGGGTACCCAGAAATAGAAAGAATGCTATAGACTGATCCTTCCCACCACTCATAAGAAGCCAAATCATTAACTTCATCCACAAATATGTTAAACGCATCCTCATACCTGTCATATCACAATAAGATGAAGCTTAAAATATCTCCACAAACTATGAAATGAAATATCCATCTTGAACAATTTGGCATCTGTCATTAGCTCAATATTCCATATCTTGACAGCACGAAAAATGTCACTTTTTGTGGTTCCATGTAAGATGAGAAATATATGAAAACATACACAATTTCTGTGACTTCTTTAGGAGGAGAATGAGGAAGATGCCAGGGATCACTAAAAGTGTTGGCACCCAAAAGATACATCCTGTGAACATGTGAACTGGATTCCTCAGTTCTATTGGTTTCCAACACCTAAGTTAAAGAAAAAAATGGGTATAATTCTAATAACTGATAATATACCGTAAACAACCAGATATTGATTGAGGGGTCTGTTTGGATGGGGATTTTGGAGGGGAAGACTTTCAAGGGCTTGGTCTATATATTACATACTCCGTATATTTTAAGATTTTAGAAATCATTAAAGATTAATATAATACTCCCTCCATACCGAAAAGGTTAGCCAATTTGACTTTTCTTGGTCAATGACAATCAACTTTGACCAATGATATTATTTAATACGAAATTATTTAGAATATGAAAATTATATCAAAATGTTCCTTATTCAAAATATTTTCATAAAATTATAAAATTTATAAATTATATACAAATATAATAATTAAAATCATTGTCCAAAGTTAGCCATCATTGACCAACAAAAGTCAATATGGCAAACCATTTTGGAACGGAGGTAGTATAATATTAAATCATATAGAATTTCAATCACTTCTATTCATTTTTACAAAAGTGTTATCTACCAAATCCTTCATCCAAACAGACCTTATCAGGTTTTACTATTATAATAAAAGCTTCCTACTAAAAAATCATGGTAGTTAGACAACGTTACCTCATTCAACGATTCCAAGAATGGGAATGATCGGTCAATTGGAGATCCACGGCGAGCTGGAACTGGGCCAGGTAGTTCATCGGAACTAATAAACTTCACACGAGCAACACTGAGAACAAGGGCTAACAGTACAAGAAGACTAAAAAGAATCAAACCAAACCGCCATGGTCCCCCAAAAGTGTAAATCAGTTCTTCAAGTGCAGTGAAACAATGTGGCATGTGATATCTGTCTGAAATGCACTTGTATGGACAGGGAGTATTGGCTACACCACCTGTAATATGTAATCAATATCCCAAGAGTATTACATTTTGAAAGTACATTCATCAAGAGAAACTAAATATTTATAAAACTAAATAATACTACCTCCATCTCATATTGGTTGTCTTGTTTTACTTTGGCACAATTATTAATAAAGCGGTTGAAAAGTAAAAGTTGTGGTTGGAGTTTGAGTATAATAAAGTGAAATGATATGGACCACATATTTCTTGCCAAAAAAGGAAACAGGACATTCATTTTGGGACAACCCAAAAAGGAAAGTAAGACAACCAAAATGGGATGGAGGGAGTACACATCTACTAAACAAAAGAGAGCAAAGCTATGGAGTGCACAACCATAGTATATACCAGAATAATTACATAATAAATACCTCGAACAAGAACATACACTGCACGATGAGGAAGCTCGTGAGATTCACACTTACGACAAAGGGATCTATCAGATCCACTCTCATTCTTGTATGTTCCGATTGGGCATTCCTGTATTGTTGCATTTGCTTACATAAAAAGAAACTACAAAAATAATTTACAAAATGAAAGCACAACAGAATCACATTTTCTGCTCAAGAGCCAATAAACCCTTGCACAACATGGCATGAACACAGAGTTAGCACTGGAAGTTTCACAACTAGTTCAAGGCCAAACTGGTCCAGCAGTTATATGGGAATATGGAACACTGGAAGTTTCACAACTAGTTTTACGCACACCATATGACTGGAAAATAAACATAAATAGAAATAAAACCGTGGTTTTCAAGACCAGGTTGAGTATATATGAATTATTTTAATTCCAATTGCTATTTTCTTGTTATGTACATTACATATGACATCAGTACCATTTATTACTGGTCATTTTGAAGACATTATTATTATTAGATCAAAACATAATTTGCATGCAAACTGTAAGGTCACTTGGGTTGCTAAAGCAAAAGTGAGCCCACCAGGGTCATTAACTATGATGTGTTTGAGATGATCCATAACAATGAATAGATTCACAATAATTGACAAGTATGATTATAAATCCAATACTACAAGTACGCAAGAGAGTGCACACAGTCTAGCACAAAAATTCTATGTACACAACACAACCTAAACAACAGAAAACTACACCTGAAATTTGTAATTTACCTGACAAAATATCCCATAAAGCCCTTCTGGGCAGGCTTTACCACTAATAGTTCCATTTTCTCCCGCTTTCCCGAGATCTCTACCGATTCCTCCACTGTGGTATCAATAATAGAATAAATATATGGAAGAGAAAATGAGAAACACCAAAAGAGACTACAACAAAAACCCACCCGTAATGGGTCGTTTGGTATGCACTATGCAGAAAGGAATAAAGGAGAAATGTGCTGTAAATTACGAAGGAATTGAATACATTGAGAATAAAGAACAATTCTAAATTCCATGGTAATGTTGATTGCAATAAAACTAATTGGAATAGTCAGGGAAGAAAAGAATAAAGAGAAAGAGAAACGCCGAAAGAGACCCCAACAAAAACCTGTCTGTAATGGCTCATCTCATACGCAAAAAAATAAGGAATAAAGGAGGAAAGCAATTTAAACCAGAGGGAGAAGAATATATGGAGAATACTAAAGGATTTTAAATTTTGTTAGGTTGGTTAAATAAACCTAATTGGAATAATCAGGGAGTAAAAGAATAAAGAAAAAGGTAGCTGTGGATTAACCCCCTATTCTAAGCCAACAAAGATACTTCCTCCGTTCTTTAAAACTTGCAACACTTTCCTTTTTTGGCAGTTTCAAAATAATTGCAACATTACTCTTTTTGGCAAATTTAATTAGGTACAATGACTTTAATATCCTTCTCCAAATCAATTACTTCTCTTTAAACTTACCATCCACCTTCTCGCATTCCAAATAATTCTCTCTCTCCCTTATCTTCCTCACGCCTCCACCTCCCCATTTATCTCTTCAATTTCTCCACCCACCACCATCCTCTTTCTCTTATCTTTACTTTCCTCTTCATTTCAATTTTAGAAAATTAGATCTAGATTTTACCCCTTTCTCTTATCTTCAATTCAAAATCCATTTTGGCCGGCGAAATGCTCTGTGCCGATTTGTCTGTTCTCATCTATATGGATAACATTGTACATTGCTGAAAATTTTGGGATGGTATGGACTGTACTTGGCATAACCTGACCCATGATGTGTTGTAGGCGCTTTATCATGTGTGAATGACTTAGTTTAGGCTCGATGCTATTTGTATGAGCTCTAAGTTGTCCTGTTTTTAGCAACCTACAAACTGTTGAGTGACTGATTCCAAGTGAAGTAGATAAAGATCTCATTGTTGTTCTCTTTTCAAGGGGCACACAATGAAGTGTCTCTAAATTAAAAGGTTGAGCTTTCCTTCCACTCCTTCCCTTTTTCTTATTTTGAACATTAATCAGTGTACCCCTATCAACTTGAACTTTTGCTGCAGACCATAATCTCCACACTGTTGTTCTATGAACTTTAAATTCTGCTGCAATCTGTGATATGGCACCTTTGGGTAGAGTTTTTCCATCTGCCAAAACTAAAAGTTTTTCCACTAGGTGCTTCCTTTCATCATTTTTCATATCTAACCTTTTTCTGCCTACTAACCCTTTTTCTCCCTCACCTTCAGTTTCAGATATGAAAGAAGAAAATGTTTCAACATCAGAGTCGGCATCGAAGTCACCAAACCTGAAATCTTCCTCCAATAGAAGAAGTTCATCAACTGAAATCTGCTCATCCATTTGTGTGCAGTGTGTGGTGTGTTTTGTTTGATTTGTAATGAAAGAAGCTGTGAATTATAATTGCCAGTATATGGTATAAGAAGTGAAAACTTGTCCTGGAGGGAGATTTAATTTTTTTGGCTTTTTTAGTTCCCTCCAAATCTGAATTATTGTGATGGCATAGTTTCGTACTTGCGTAGAAGAGATGATGGCTTAGTTGTTTTATTTTAAATTATGTGGTGTACAGCAGGCATGGGTCTTTTATTGTGGGGTCTGAAAGTTCCTTTTGTACTGTAGCAAGTAGCAACTCTATCATACTTCTACGGAAAAGAACTGCACAGTACTAACTAAAAGGGCTTTATTGGAACAAATATTACTTTATTGGTGTTTCTTAATATGTGTGCCCAAACCTCATGTTGCAAGATTTCTAGAACGGAGGAAGTATATGTGTAATAAAATTACCAAGGAAAGGTTCTACAAAAGAGCACCAACTCCATTCCACTTATAGGTGAAAAATATTATACCTGAGGAAAGGATGGGAACAATACTCCACTTGTACAAAAAGTGTCAAATTGGTTCACATACTTTTTAAAAAAAGTCAATTGAGTCCACGCACTTTTTAGCAAATCAATCATGTCCGCAAAATATCAAAAAAAAAAAAAAAACTGAATCAGCTATTTAACAGGTAATCAACCGGTTACCCGGTTAACCGCCTACATGGATGTCCTAGCTAGCGTTTTTTACTGTTTTTTAATTTTTTTCATTTTTTTCTTTTCCTTATCATTTTTCCTCTCTCTTCTTTTTTTTTCTTTCTTCCTTGTCCACGCCTTTCCCAGTCTTCTCTTTTCCATCCCCTGCTCTCCTTTTAATATGAATATTGCTCATTTTATTCTATAAATACTCCCTCCGTTCTTAAATATGAGTCCTCTTAGGCTTTGGCACGGGTTTTAAGAGAAAAATAATAGGGGTAGTGTTAAAAGGTGTAGTGGGTTGTGAGTAAATAAAAAAGTAGGAAAGAGAAAGGGGTAATGGTAATAAAAGTGGGGGTATAAAGGTATTTTGATTGAAAAAACTTACCAAAAAGGGAAAGAGGGACAAATAATTAAAAACGTCCCAAAAAGGAATGTGAGACAGTTAATAAAGAACAGAGGGAGTATAATTCAAGATCTTCCTTAAATTATTTATAACAAATATAATGGAAAGCTATCAAATAGGTCCATGTACTTTTAACAAAAAGTCAATCGACTGTCACGTACTTTTTAGTGAATCAATCAAGCCCACGAAGTATCAAAAAACAACCAAATCAGCTATTTCACGGGTAATCAATCAGTTACCGGTTAACCGCCTACGTGAATGTCCCAGCTGGCATTTTTTACCGTTTTCTAATTTTTAAAAATTTTCTTTTCATTTCTCTTTTCCTTTTTCTCTTCCTTTTTTCTCTTTCTTTCTTCTCTTTCTTCTTTCTTCCTTCTTTCTTGTCCGCTCCTTTCCGTGTCTTCTCTTTTCCATCCCATGCTCTCCTTGTCTGCTTCTTCCCTTTCATGCATCCACCTCACCTCCAACCACTTTCTTCCAATTCCTCCATTTTTGCAGCCCCTGCCTCCTCCCATTGGAACAACCTCTGCCGCCTCGGCCTCCATAGCCACCACCTCCGCTTCCCTAGCCTCCATAACCACTACCTCCGCCACCCTGGTCTCCATAGCCACCACCTCCGCCACCCCTACATCCATACACATTGCCTCCGGCCTCCACCTTAACCACCCCTACCTCCATTCAAGGAAGGAAGGAAGGAGGGATGGAGGGAGGGAGAAAAGAAAAAGGAAATATTATAAAATATAGAAAACGGAAAAAAACTGACAGGTGGACATCCATGTAGGCCTTCAACCAGGAAACCAAACAACTAACACTTCATGAACTTGATTTCACTTAAAAGTACGAGGACTCAATTGACTTTTTGGTAAAAGTACATGGACCTATTTAACAGTTTTGCCTAAATATAATTCATGTTCTTCCCTTAAACTTTCCATTTAAGTCTTTCTGTAGTCCTTCCGTAAATTTTCCATCCATTTATCTTAAGTGTCACATTACATCCGACATGGTTTATTGTACTATTAATAATATTTAGATTATTCTAAAAATATAATTTAATTTATAGTAGAGAGTACAAATTATTTCCTCACCCTCACATAAAACTTAAAATCTATTTGGTAATCCAAAAAGTAATAAAAATACATCAGTCATTACAAATATATTTAATGATTGTTAAAAAATAGGGCGCATTTCAATTAGTAAAAACTAGTAATCCATTATAGAAAATGTTTAATTTGAAATGTTATTTTTAGTAATCTAAAGCAGTGAGGTCCAATTCATTAAACATGTACGAAATAGTGGGGTATAATGTGCAGTTCATTAAATACTAACGTTGTTATATTTTGCATGGGTTTGTCTATGAATTAAATAACAACGGTGTTATATTTTGTCTAGAAAATATACTGCCTATGGAGGAATTATAATGAAGCACCAACGGTATACCTTAAGGAGGATATTTCATCAAGTCATGAACTATTAAATGGATGGAAATTTAAGCAAAAATCTACTTAAAAGATAAAAGTCATAAAACTAATCAAGTTGCGGACTCCCTTGCTAATCACCACTCATCATCAACTACAACTTCATTTTTTACAGTTTATGAATCACCTAGTATTACACACTTATTTCTTGATTCTGAAGGTAGAAGTGCTCCTCATATTAAAGTGAAGCTACAGTAGAGCTATTTCTTCATGATTAATATAATAAAAATTGGTAAGGTGTGCCTGGCACTTTCTCCTTACAATGAGGTTTGCCTCCATGTTAAAAAAAGTTGTGTGGATAAGATTTATATAGAAAGATAGAATAAATATAAGCCATGCAACTTTATTAATATAAACCATACAATTGTACGGAGTATCTTTTTAAGGGAGTGAAAACTTGGAAGACCCTAAAAAGAAAGTGGGAAGAACATTTCGTGACAGAGGCATAATCAATAATTATATTTACATGCAATATTAAGTATATTATTATTGAATTACTTTTTGAGCTACAAAATACACTTTAGGAATACGTGAGCGAGAAAATGGAAAATAATTTCTACGTGCTGCTATAAATGACACCCTACACAGCGGCGGACCCAAAGGGGGCTAATGGGAGCCGAGCCCCCCCCCCCTCCCGAACTTTCTTTTCCTAGGTATTTTTACCCTGAAATTTTAAATATATGTGTATTTGTATGTATTTTTTACATGCTGCCCCTCCTAGCGGGAATTCCTGCATCCGTCGCTGATCCTACATAATCTAGAAAGTTACAGGTTTGTCTGTCCCTGGATTATTTCCTTTCAAGAACAGCAATATGTGGCTTACAGTATTTTCTCTTTTAATCACATAATTTTTCACTTTCTAAAATCCTGTGTCCCATCAAAGTGGGCAACAAACTTTGTGACTGAGAGAATCGTTTTAAATTAGACTTGTAAGTTGATCTATAAAATGTTAATAGTATAGTAATACCAAGTGGGATGCCATGTGGCTAATACTCACATAGCAAACGCGTGGTAAACGGATAAATGGATGGAAAGGTTAATGAAAAGACCAAAAATGAATTGATTCATAAATTAGCGAGGAGCTGAGGACCAAATATGAGGACTAAAATAGTAAGGGCCAAATATGAAGGGACCAAAATACTACTCCCTCAGTCCCAATTTGTAAGATACATTTACTATTCACTTGGTCAACATAAATTACTCTTAATCTTTTACTTAATATATCAAAAGTTTATGAAATTTGAATTATTTTTTTTAGACTTTGTAGCGGTTTTAATGTAGTTTCTGAATATGTAAATTTCATTTTCTAAAACTAATTTGAGTGTTGACAAAGATCAATTTGCTTTACCATCAGTCAAACATCGTAAACCGTAAAATCTTACAATTTGGGTCGGAGGGAGTAAAAAAGTTGGTTTCAGAACAAAAGAAAATAGCAAGGACCAAATATGCATTTAACTCTACACAAATAAAGAAAACACTGAAGTTTTATATCACAGTAGTTACTGACCTCTCTGTAATAGTTCCTTTCACATTTGCTACCGCTACGTACTCATCTCCAACAGAAATCTCTGACCAGTGAAAGTGAATTCTTCCTCCACCTCCACCGCCACCATTAGAACTACCATGACCTCCAATTGCTGAGATAGTAGAAAAATTGCCTTGTACCAAAGAGTGAATGAATAGAAGAACTGTTCCACCAGACCCACCCCCAGGACCTACTTCCGAGACAACCATACTGCCATCCTTTCTAATAAATTTTCCAAAGCTTTCTCCATTGGCTTGAATTGAACCATACACTGACAAGCTTGATAAGGAGTGCTCCAATGATCCCATTACTGTTGCCAGAAAGATTATAAAAGCGTACATGTCAGAGCAGCTTTATCTGGGATTTCTTAAATTACAAATGTGCACCTTTTATACAGCAATAATAAAGCAGACTACATAAGATAGTGGATTGCATACATCTTATATCTATCAGTTCGTCTGGTTTCTTAAATATCAAAACTGGAACCGACTTACTGACCGAGGAAAAAAATACAATTGCTCACAAGGTGGTGCCTATAACACCATTCACTTCATCGAATATATTAAGTGTATTCTTTTGCGAAGTATGTCACACAAATTGAAGTATCAGGTTAAAAAACAAAGATGCAACTGTATGTTGAGTGCTTATCGCCTTATCCTCTATGCTTCAATTTTGTTAGGAATAGTGTATATAACTGCACGTGTACTTCTCTATAACTGTACGGTAGTTAATAGTCTGTTAGGCTTCTACATTGTTAGTTGTTTGTCTGTTGAGACTACCACATGTATAAATACTCTGTAACTCATCATACTCAGTAAGATGATTTCATTTCCATCTTCTTCCCTGTCTCTATTCTAATATGGTATCAGAGCTTTGCTCGTTCCAATCATGACAAACTCCAACTCTGAATCATCGGTCTCGCAAACTTCTTCACAATCTTCTTCGCAAATGTCTCCAGTAATATTCAATCATCCTTTATCAATCAAACTTGATTCAAATAACTTCTTATTCTGGAAACATCATGTTGAATCTACAATCTGATCACACAAACTCCTCAAATTTATAGAAAATTCTCAGATTCCAGAACGTTTTACTATCAGCGACGATGGAGAAACAAAAACGATCAACGAAGCTTATAGTATCTGGGAGCAACAAGATCAAATGTTGTTCTCCTGGCTTCTAGTGTCCCTGTCCGAATCACTTCACGCTCGCGTAATCAGTTGCAGACATTCGCATCAGCTTTGGAATGAAATTGAAAAATTCTTTCGATCAAACATTGTCGCCAGAGCTCATCAGCTAAAACCTGAGTTGTACAACACAGGGAAGGCTGATCGCTCTATCTCCGACTATCTGCTTCGCATTCAGACCATAGTTGATAACTTAATGTCTATCGGTGAACCAATATCTACCAAGGATCACTTTAATGTCATCCTTGAAGGTCTTCCAGAAGATTATGAGTCGCTCGTATCTTCTGTTACTTCTCGCAGCATCCTTGACCCAGTTACTGTCTCGGAACTCATCACAACAAACATTGTTTTCAGCAAACGTTCTTCACCTTGAAGACTCTTCTCAAAACAATGAAGCTGGATCTCAAAATTCTTCAGAAAACCACTCAGCTCAGGTTGCTCTGTTTGATAACACTGGTGGAAATCCTGCCTATAAAGGCAGAGGCCGTGGAGGCTTCAATCGAGGCAGAGGTGGTCGTTCTGGGGGTCACAGCTCTGTCATCTGCCAAGTTTGTAGTAAAAATGGCCACAATGCTCTTGTGTGCTATCACAGATATAATCCAGCCTACAGTGCTTCAAACCCTAACTCATCCAATCACCAACAGCCCAATCCATATCAATGGAATCCCTACTCATCCAATCACCAACAGCCTAATCCATATTCAAATCAAATCCAACAGCCTGCACATGTTCCCTTTCCTATGGCTAATCAATACTCAAATCAAAGCCAATCATCTTCATCCTATAATCCAACAGCACCAAGATATTCACCCAATCAGCCTGCTCCAGCACCTTTCAACTGTGGATCACCTACTATTCCAACTGTTCCAACTGGAGCCTGGGCTTGTGCAAACTCTTCTGTGTTAGGACCAGCTCCAAACACTCAGAATTGGTTTCCGGAATCAGGGGCTACACACCATGTCATATCCGATCATCTCAACTTTCAACACAGTGAGCCTATTGCTACAACTGACATGCTCTTTATGGGCAATGGTCAAGGTTGGACATTAAGTCTATTGGTTTTTCATCTTTTCCTTCTCTTTATCAATCCTCTCTTTCTCTATCTCTTAATGATATCTTACATGTTCCTACTATCACCAAAAATCTTTGAAGTGTCAGTCAGTTTGCCAAGGATAATAATGCATTCTTTGAATTCCATCCGTATAAGTGTTTTGTCAAATCTCAGGTTTCTAAACAGGTCCTACTATATGGTATACTTGGAGAAGATGGTCTATACAAGTTTCAATCCTTTCCATCCCTTGGGTCTCACAAATCAACTGCCAACATATCTAAGACTTCTATTAATAATTCTGTGTATCCCAGTTCTCTTATGTCTCCATGTAATATAACTCTCAGTCCAATGCATCTTATAATGTTTGGCATTTAAGACTAGGTCATCCTCATTTTGAGGCCCTCAAGTCTGTACTTGATCTGTGTAACATTCCTTATATAAATAAAAATGATGTGGATTTTTGTTCTGCTTGTTGTCTTGGAAAAGCTGTTAGGGACCCGGTAGAATAAGAGTAAATAGAAAGAGTAATAGCTAGAGTAGTATAAATAGAAGGGGAGTGGGTAATAAAGGGAGGCTGTTTTTAGACTGCTGTCTTGTACTGGGAAGTTAGAGACTTATACTCTCTCTCTTTGGGGGCTTCGGCCATTGGGGGCTTCGGCCATTGATACTTGTTCTTCTTCAATAAAGCTTCTTGAATTGTTTTCTTTGAATTCTGTTCTTCTTTCTATGAAATTACTGTGTACATGGAGGTATCTCTAACAGTGGTATCAGAGCACGTTGATCTGTGGAAGATCTTTACAAGTGCGAAAAAAATGGAAGGAAGATTAAATGAACTGGAGCAACACCAACAAGAAACAGCGGCAAGCACTGCGGCGACCTTAGCTGAGTTACGAACAAGCATCGCAAATATAGAGAGGAGGATACAGAATCATTCGCAAAGTAGGTCGCATGCATCATCCGTGTCGCATAGCACTTCTCATCATCGACACACGCGAAATCGGAAGACTATAAAATAGCACCGAGCATCTTATGCTCTGTGCCTCTGACTGACTGTATGCGTGCGTACTATATATACAATATACGTAGTATATATACAAATTAATTAATTAGAATATTCAAAAATCAATCGACAGAGGAGAAGAGAAGTTCGACAAAACGAGAAGAGATGGGGGCCTCGAAGCGTACTTGTCGGCTGCTTCCTGCGAGTGTGAGACTGCGATCTGCGCTCGTCTGCTTCCTGCGAGAGACTGCGAGACTGTGTGATCTATGCTCGTCTGCTTCCTGCGAGTCGCGTCTGCTTCTTGGGCCTGCGGACTGCGGTTACACTAGCCAAAATCTAGACGCCTTATCGCCAAAAGCTCGCCTGGACGACGACTGGACGACGCCAACGTCGCCTACTCTTCTTCTGGCGAGGCGAGTTAACCCGACGACCATTCCCTAGCGCCAGGACGCCTAGTCGCCGACTAGGCGACGCCTAGGCGACGCCGTGACAAGTATGGTTCAATTCCTACTCAGAGAACTTCAAGCTCCTTTTATCACTCCCAGGGTCTACTGTGACAATCTTAGCACAGTCCAGCTTGCTCATAATCCAGTTCTACATTCTCGTATTAAGGCATTAAGCACATGGAAATTGATCTCTTCTTTGTACGAGAGAAGGTTAAACTGATAGAACACCGGTAGTAATCTAGATGAAATTGTAGAAGTTATCTAGAAAACAACAGAACGGACATTAGATTGATAGGGAAGAACTCAAAACAGTATACAAAGCCAGGGACAGTTCGAGATGCCCAATCTCCAGGTCTACAATCAACTGAATAACAACCTGCCTTATTAGACTATTTACCTTCTATTTATAGCTATAGTCCACGCAGGGACATTTTCCGTTAGTTAACAGCTTTATTTAATTAACTAACTACCCCCCTTATTCCTCCTTTGATAAACTCTATCAAAATATTGAATCGGCTGACAACCCGCATGCCTATCATAAACTTAAGCAGCTTGAAGTTGTTCACATTCTAGCTCATCAACAAATTGCAGATGTGCTGCTCAATCCTCTTTCAGCCTCCACATTTCTTGAATTCAGAAACAAACTGAGTGTGATAGACTTTCCAAAGCAATCACCCTCAGTTTGAGGGGGAAATGTTAGGAATAGTGTATATAACTACACAAAGTACTTCTCTATAATTGTACGGTAGTTAATAGTCAGTTAGGCTTCTATAATGTTAGTTGTTAGTCTGTTGAGACTACCACATGTATAAATACTATGTAACTCATCATACTCAGTAAGATGATTTCATTCCATCTTCTTCCCTGTCTCTATTCTAATAAATTTGAAGTTGGTAATGTAAAAATTATGGATGTGTTTCCATGTGGACTGAAATTACAGAATAGTAGAATACACACGCCTAATTCTCCTGATGTGAAAGGACTTGCAAAACTTGGGAAATGAAATATTTCCCTAGGAGACAAACAATCCTCACTAAGGGCATGTTTACTTCGCAGTAATTTTCACGGTTAGCTTAGTAAGCACCCCACCCCCATGTTTTACTAAGCAACGTGTTAAACTCTTTCGTATTTACAAGTATATTGTATACCCCTCATTGCATCCAACAATGAAAGTCTCCATAGATTGACACCTCAATGGAAATTTATGGACATAATACAAGGGTGGAACAAAGCAAAATTAACTTGCATTACTGAAAAGTAATTTATATTTGTTTATAATAAAATATAGGAAAAATGGACAAGAATAATCCCAACTATTAGTGATCTGCTTGAAATTATCCAAAGTATCAATTATCTCAAAATAATCTCAACTATTGAAAAATCTTCTCAAAGTACTCCGGTGACTTATAATTATCCGTAAATAACTTATAGGGAAAAGTACGGAAAAAGTACTTGTGGTTGAGTCCGTTTTCAGATAGGGTCATGTGTTTCATTCTCTATCAAAGTGGTTCATGTGTTTGAATTCCGTTATCGCAAGAGGGTCACGTCGTTAAAAACGTCTGAAAAAGACCGTTAAAAGTAACTGCGATTTTCAAAAGTGCCCAAAAAATTATAAGAAAAATACCGGAAGGTGTGTCTCAATAAGACAACCGCTAGGCCATCTTTCTTTTTTGTTTTCAGCCACCCTTGTCACCGGAAACTCAATCGGAAAAGTGATATTAGCGAAATCATTTAAAAAAAATAATTCAAATAGATCTGAAAAATCCAAAGGCGGATGTGATTTGGAGGTCATCTTGATGAGGCGCACCTTTCGGTATTTTTCTTTTAATTTTTCGGGCACTTTTGAAAATCAGAGTTACTTTTAACTGTCATTTTTAGACATTTTTAACGGCGTGACCCTCTTGTGATAACAGAATTCAAACACATGAATTACTTTGATAAAGAATGAAACACATGACCCTATCTGAAAACGGGCACAACCACAAGTACATTTTCCGTACTTTTCCCTAACTTATAATACTTATGAATAAGTGGAGTATTTTGAGCATATTTTTCAATATTTGGGATTATTTTGAGATAATTGATACTTTGTATTATTTCAAACAGATCACTAATAGTTGGGATTATTCTTGTCAATTATTCCTAAAATATAAAAGTCTGCCATAGTCCAAATACATAGATAATTATAAATATAATTTGAGAGCTGACCAAGTATTCCACCCCCAGCAGTAGCACCTGGTACACTAGAATTTCCACTTCCACTACCAAGTTCACATGGCAAATCAGCATCACCGTATGTATGACCACCTCCCATATAGGTCCCATTGTAATATGCATCACCACCTCTGCCACCATGCCCAGCACCACCACTAACACCATTGGGAAAGAGTTTACCACTGCCCAACCCTCCAATGCAACCTGCACATAACCAGATGCATGATTTAGCCCAATAACTCAAATTACTACTGTAAAAGGTAAGAAGAAAATTAAGAATCAGGCCGTCACTTCTCATCACTTCACATGTCTCTTTAAAATCAGGTAAACCACAAATAGGAGCTAAACCATAGAAATTGAAATAAAATAATGAAATACCTAAACCAGAAACACTTATTGTTCCAGAAGGCTTTACAAGTACTGCTCTAACCCAATGAAAATGAACAACAGAACCCTCGATAGAGCCTTCAATAAATGCATCTTCAACACGGCATATCTGCACATGTCACACAGATCACTCATACATCAATCAAATCCAAACATATTAAACAGTTCAAACTCATTGCTTATTGGTAATACAGGAACCTGAAGGGTAAAGGGTAATGAGCCATTGACGTTGCAGTCTTCAGGTGGGTGAAGCAACTCAATGGGGCATTCTTGGATTTCTTCACAGAGCCGTGGTTCACTGCTATAACGGAAGATCACAACCTTAAAAAGTTGTCACATTACACCACAAGGAAGATGAAATAAAAACACTTACATGCTATTGATGCTTATATTCTCCAAAGGACCACGCAAAATAGATCCTGGACCAACCTTCACATTGAAACAAACACACTACCTTTTAAATAGGTAACCAAGGTTGTCATGAAGATGCAAAAATATTTCCCAAATCACATGGTTTGGAACAATTACGTTCAACTAACACTAATGAGTTTGCCTAGGGAGGAAAAAGTCATGTGTCCCCAGCACACACCGAAAAAAGATATAGAGAAAATTCATCCTTTTCATTAACAATTATGGCAGAAGATAGGTTGTATCATACATATAATCACAATTTATTTCTCAACTATTCTTATTGGATGGTGACTGCATTTTAGAATTCTGGCAAAGATTCATAGGTGTCTCAAATATTATCCTTATTTGATGTGTTGATTCAGATCTAGCTATATCCAGTCTGATTCGGTCTGGTCCAGGCCAACAAAAACCCCTAGCTGAGAATGGTTACAGATATTAAGCATTAAGGGACTTACATTTATGCTGTAAAACAGAGATAAAACCAAATGCTGAGCCTCGATAAGATCTCCAGGTCCTGATAAGTTCAATGAACCTTGCCCATGAACTCCCAAGTTAGCATTTGAATGTATAACGGATGATCCCTGAGCATTTATTGATGCACACGTATGCCTGAGAGTATCAAATACTCAAGAACATAGACATCATAAAAAGATACAAAACCACTCTACCTTGAGAACAACTAAATTGCTAGCCTCAAGTACAGATGTTGCAACAATTGCATCACCTTCACCATCTATAAGCATTTTGGAATTCAGCATCAAGTGGATTTTCACAGACATCCGCAAAGCCCCATAGACCTAAACATGATAACAGCCATCGATATTTAGATTAACACCATAAACAAGAAGGCAAAGACTTTCTCTTAATTTTTTTAAGGTAAATTACCCAATAGAGGACTAAAAATGTTTGTATATTCCAAAATAGGACTATCATGTTTTTATTTCCAAAATATGACTAATTGCTGCCACGTTTTGGCAGTACCCCGACTTTAAACATGGCAGTGTTTTCCAAACTTGGCAGTAATTACTCCTATTTTGGGATTAAAAACATGGCAGTCCTATTTTGGAATTTTCAAACTTTTTTACTCCTATTTCAGGAATTTCCCCTTTTTAAAAGAAAGCTTTATATTGGTATATAAGAAGTAGAATTTAAATTCTTCAAGTAACAACAAATTAGAGCAATGTCATTTCTATGTATAGCGCATTCAAAAATAGAAACAAAGATATTTCTTGGTAACAGAAAACACGCATGATGCAAAATAGGATCTAAGAAGGTGGCAAAATATGTCTAATAAAAGACATGTTGAAATAAACAAAGCCACACATAACTTGTATTAGTAGCATCATAAGTCGAGGAATGAGGGGCACATGACCCTTAACCTCATACAAATCAAAAGTTTAAAATGGCTTTCTAATTGAGGGAATGCCCCACAGGTCTAGGACAAAAGTTCCTCGTATAGGCACAGGAAGTTGAGACGCCTGTGTAAAGGTGAACCAATTTTGTAGAGATGAAGAGGAAATGGTGCAACTGTGAGCGGACTGAGCGAGCCAGTGAGCGACAGAACTTGCCTCCCAGAAGCAGTGGCGGCACTCAAGGTCCCTAAACGCTGCGTGGTGGCAATTTTGGGAAATGATAGCATTGAAAGCCTCCCTGCCGTTCGTTGATCATATTAGTGAAACGGCTACTGCAGAATTGGATTCCACCTCAAAACCGGAGAAGCTGGCTTCAATGGCCCATTTGTATTATGTAATACCTGAACACATCCCAACAGCACATAGAGCCTATATTTCAAGAGTAAACAGGCCAGAGGTATGCTAAATGGGCTCATGTATTTAACAAAGGTGTAACTATCAATAGCAGGAGAAAACGGTTGAATCTTTGCCGACACTAAAAACTTGATCAGTGGAAGTGAAATTTTACGAAACCAACACTGTCAAAAAGATAAAAATATTCTGTAATAACAAGGTACATCGGTGGCGCTATTATGTGGAACGAAGAAGGAAATATGGTCTTTGCTTTAAGCTTTTCTCTCTTGGCAGACTCAGCGCTGAAGGCTGAAGTTTATTCTCTGGAGACAGCTATGGTGTGGGCTTTGGAAACTGGATATGAAGATTTTCAGGTGGAGACTGATGCAGCAGAGGTCTTAGCTCTCATATCCGATTGTTCTGAAGTTCGATAGTCAATCGACTTTACTGAAATGAAACGGAGAGCAATTAGGAAAGGCATCTCAATCAGTTACACTCTCAGGCAAGGGAACTGGACAGCCCATTACCTGGCTAAAGAATATCCGGCCCAATTCACTTGTTTTTATCAGGTTAATTCATTGCCTATTCTTGCTAGGAAATCCTACTATTTAGATTATTTTGGTATTTCAGATTTCCGTCGGTGACTTGCTCTTTGTTACTACCATTGTCCCACTAACATTGGGACATGAGGAGGTGGCACGTTTATTTGTCTAGTGACATTAAGGATTCTTGCTGAACAGAGTCTGTAACTGTAGAGCTTTCTGAATTATTTGAACCAGCAATTTCATCATCAGCAGAGCCATATTCCTTGGCAATCGAGGATTGAATCACCATGGAAGATTTCTCTTCTCATCCTCCGTCATCATTGATGAAGGTATCTTCAGAGATAGGTTGTCCCTGATTAATGAATTCCAAACTGAGCTGTGAAGCTTGCGAAGTGAGAGAATCTGCTGGTGATTTCTCCTGGCTTTCATTGTTGCCTTCAGTGAACTTCTCTGCATTTTCTCTGGATCGCTAAGCACTCCTAACAGCAGAGGAAAGTTGCCGCCCACTCACAGACTCCTGTGGGGATGATGAAACCGGCGCACAGGGAGAAATGTTTTGCAACAAAACATGCGATGAGACCTGGGAACTGAGATGAGTCGCGTGTTGAGCCCTGCAAACTGAGACCTGCGCACGCGACGATGTCTGCGAACTTGGCGAAGCCGTTCGCGATTGCGAACTAGGGGGAGAGACGGACGAAGAAACCTGATTTTCAGTTGGCCGACGGCGTCTAGGAGGGCTCCTCGCTCGGCCTCTAGTTCTCCGGCGACGCTGTTTACACAGACGATTTATCATCTCGTCCAGCATCGTTTCCATCTTCCTGGCATGGCATTTGACACTTCCGGTGCTATTCTCCATCTGCGCACGCGTCACAGTCCTCCAGTGATCATTGATGCTGATGATCGATTCGGACTTGAGGAGCTATTGCTCTGATACCAATTATAGGAACCGATCTTCATAGTAAACAGTAAACATCGTACAACAGCGGCAAACAGAAAGAAAGAGAAGAAAATACAGATCAAAACTCTTAGAGAGGCCTCACTTTCCCAATTCACAGTCCAAGTTCCAAGTTTTGCCTGCGTATCCCCCCCCCCCCCCCCCCCCCCCCGCACTCCTATTTATTCTTTTCCATTTGGGCTACCCCACTTGCTATTTAATTCAGAGCCTAAACCCCTTTTATTGTACAATATTAAAAGACTAATATTATTCTTATTGCTAGTACTATCTAGGTCTCTATCACATCACTATTTTTTCACTTTCTTGGCTTATATCACACCTAAATATCGAATGATCATTTCAACTCTTTCATATTACATAGAAAAAGTTACATAATGTATCTGATATATAACATTATAATCTTATACTTGTATTTAGTACAGCATCATATGTATGCCTATGTTTATCATATCATACATGTATTTTAATTTTATTTTAAAGTATATATATATATATATATATATATATATATATATTTCACATTTGCATTTTTATTTGTAAAAACAAAACAGCTAAAGTGTAAAATGTTTATGTTCTCTGCACCGCACGGGTATCATTTTAGTTAAAACAAAAAGAGAAATGCTATAGGTAGCCCAAAATGGTATACCTCATTCTTACCCCGGCCTGATGTGTGGCCATAAATGGGGCAACAGATTTAAGTGGTGCCCCAACATTTATGGCCACACATCAGGCCGGGGTAAGAATGGAGTACCCCATTTTGGGGTAGCTTTAGCATTTCTCAAACAAAAATAAGAACATTGGGAACCAACATTTACCTTGATTACTGAGTCGCTCATCAATAGCTCCTCCGCCATTAATTCAAATTCTGATAAGGAACAATGCACAAGCCCAAAAGTTAAAACGGCACCACTGGATAAGCTAAGCTGCCCCCGAACCTACATAACCACATGAACAGCACATTAAAAACACATACATCCATGAACGATAGCCTCTCAGATGATATAGGTTCAAAGAATGATGCCAGGATTATGATGCAAAGGAACTGATACTAAAAGAACAGATAGCTGGCAAGGACAGGGATATGATTCAAGTACTAAAAGAATAGAGCAGATACTAGAAATTGATAAAAGTCATATCCTGCTATTTAGATTTTAAACATATTCACTAAGTCAAATAAGTGTTCTATAGATCATAAAGCTTTTCCATAAGTCTACATGATGCATCAAGAAGCAGAACAATCATTTCATCATTTTCATTTACCCCAGTGCCGCAAAGGCTCCCACCTACAGTGGGGTAAAGGGGGGTCGGATGTACGCAGTCAGAGAGACTGTTTCCGGATGACCCATAGTGAAAATCGCGTCCAAAATTGCATGGACTGACTGCTGCTCCATAACAAAGAAGCGCAGACAGTTTAATGAGCCATTTTGCTTTATTCCATCATAATCTCAAGCCAAAAAAAATGAATATTTGGCTCCATTGCAAATGATGGAAAAATCATGAAGCAGAACAATAATAAAAAAAAATATTACTGAAACACCATAAAGAATGGTCAGCTTTTCACACACACGCATATACATAATTACAAGGACACGGACACAGATACATACACATATCATGTACTTACATGTATAAACATGTGTATATGAACTTAAAACATTAATAGGTGACATGTTTAGAATCATAAAAAGATTATCAAACACACATTTTCAATTTTGTAGATGTGATATTGACTTAATCTTCTAATAAGTGCCAAAACAACCACACAAACAAAAACTTTCCGACTGCTATTATACTGTGGCTTCTCAACACAGTTTCCCATGTGGTCAACAAGAAATGTGTTCAAAGACCTGGACACGGCTCCAAAGTAAGGGAACAGCTGCGTGGGCATGATTTAGGATATAAACATTTGTCAAGAGTGGCTGATTAGGAAAATCTAAGAGAAGGGTATCTGTGTCCGTTGACATGTTGTAATTATTGATTACTAGTCTTCGTGGAACAGCATCATAGAATGTCCCAGCAGCACCTGAATTTGCAGGACAGCCAAAACTTCTCCCCCCTGCAAATAAAAAAATAAAAAAGGAATAATGCAATTCCTTTCTCCAAAAAGAAATGTGTAACCAGATCACAAAATGTCTGGTTCTCAACAAAACATGTCCATTCACTCGCTTTCTACAGCAATTCTACTAGAAAAAAGTTAAATTCCAATAATTTAAATAAAAAAGAAAGCTGACAAGAAATATACATGAAGCCAGAACTATATCTCTATAAGTGATCGGCCAGGACTCCAGGAGTGGCCGAGGTCAGTCTGGTTTGCTCAATCCAACCGACCCTAGGTCAAAGAGCCTATGTAATTCGACCAGCTGCAGCCTATCAACATCTATGGCCGCCTAATTTAGTAATTACAGCTAGTAATCACCTAGGTGATGTCGGAGGTGGAACCATCAGTCTCATCTGTCACACTTGTCAAAACCGTTGTCATCAACAGGATACCTAGGATACCTAACATGCACTGCTGTACCTCATAAAATACTCCCTTCTCAGCCTATGGGAAGGGGCCTCCTAACTCGTGAGCATACCTAGCATTTTAGAGAGAAAAACACACAGTGACTGAACTCGTCAAGATTGTAGCTCGTTGGAGGCTTAGAGCAAACCAATCTTGTAGCATGTGTGCTCTTTGTTAAGGTTTATGTAGATCGAATTGCTAGTTGGAGCTTAATTGGCTCTGATATCGTATTAAGACTTGTAACGAGAAATATGGGATTGGTCGGTGGCTTATAAGCTAGGTGTTCCCTCCAGCTATTGGCTAGTCCTTTGGGAGTGAGTATGGGCCTTGGTATGGACCTAGTATGTGCTAGGTCCGTAATAGGTTTTTTATGTTAGATTGTATTTTTATACGCAACCAATGTGAGATAGCTTAATACATAATAATAGCTACAATATGTGACTCCTCAATTAGCAATATACACATCCCACATGCTTCTTAGCCTAAACATAGTGCGTGCTCACTATCTCAACCCCCTCCCAACCCCTAACTATTATGTCCCTACTCAGTTGTCAATTCACGTGTTTGGTCAAGATGACCACATCACCAGATTCGAAATACTAAGCATCATCAAATCCCAATATCAAAGAAATAAGTTTGCAACAAGCAAGCTAAAACAAAATAAAGAAAAGCAAAAAATGAAAAGAGAAAATAAAAAATGGTTAAAAGTTGCAATAAATGTGTGAATGTGGTCCACATGAAGACATAACATATCCATTGGCGAATAAGGATGGGAAGAGAATAAGACACAGCTACATGAAAACATAACATCAACATAGGCTAACACAACACAAAAATTCACATTTTTATATCTTTAGGAGCTAACAACTTGCTACTAATCATTGGTCTATGTGGAAATTTGGGTGTAAATAATAACTTTTCATCATGATGGCAAGGAAGTGCATATGGAACATCCGCCTTCGTTTGTTGCAATATGTCAAAACTGACAATATCCGGAAGCACAGTTACAAGTCCTTATTAGCAACATTGCCGCCATTTTGGAAATATGATTTTAAAATTCAATGCTACCAACCTTAAACACATAACATGAAGAAAGCATGTAGGTGATCAGGAACATAAAGTGTTAAAGGGTTATAATTAAAAACAAACAAAAAAACATCATTCAGCCTAGCCCCCCAGCAACTTACCATGAACAAAGAATATAGGGTCATCATGCCTGCTAAATGAATTTACAGATATTCTTCCACCACCTCCACCGCCAAATCCATTGCCCCCGGAAGCACTTATTCCACCACTTCCTGTCCTGCTAAAAAGAACAATGAGCCCTTGAACTTTTGAAGACTGAATGAAATTTATGCAGAATGTTGTCTTATATCATGGTAATATTGACTATTCAAACATTGATATGTATCAAAATAAGATGGAAATGAAGACAACATCATACATAAATAATAACTCCTTTTTCTCATAGTTAATGAAGACATCCTATGAAGACCACAATAAGTTTATGTGATACTCCCTCCGTCTCAAAATGTTCTTCTCACTTTTCTTTTTGGGCCGTCCCAATTTACTGCCTGTAACAAACAAGCAAGAATGGCATTATGGAACGGAGGGAGCAATGTTGCGAATCACAAGGAAAAATGGTTGTACGCACGCCTATGCAGTAACACGAGAATCTAATCCAAACACCTCACCCACCAAATAAGCTCTAGCATTCAGCCAATCACAAAGAATATGCTTCCATTTCCTAGTCCTACGATTATAGTCTAAAGTTTTTAAGTCCCCCCCCCCCCACGTCAAAAGATTCATTTCCGGTGTTTACCTGAAAGAGATAGGAGGATTCCAAGAATTTCAATTGCTTGCAGTTGGATATTTGTATCTCCTCTTGCACTCCCACATAATACAAACTACTACATTTTTCATTATCTAAGGATATCAAAATAAATGGATTTTGGCTTCTATTCTTCAATGAGAAACTTCTGCTTTTTAAACTATGGTTCTTTCTAAACTCTCATTTCAGTACCAAAGCAGCACAATTTCTTCATTATTCTGATTTGAAAGCAAGACTAGCAGAAAAAAAATTATAAACTCATATAGCAAGGGGAAAGCAGACGAACAGAGTCAGTATTATATGCTTCTCCATTTTGATAAGTACAATTAATCATACAAATACCATAGTCATTGTGGTTAAATATGCAGGACAAGGGGGAGGGAATGAGCCAACACAAAATATTGAAGTAAGGTTCATCTAAATGAGTTGGAATCACAGTACATTTTCTTTGATTTGATGTAAATACTCCCCCCGGAGCCGCCTCCCCCTTTGACCCCCCCATCTCCACCATCAGCCAAAAGAAAACCTTGAACATCTACAGTGTCTCTTGTCTCCAACCATATCCTTCCACCCCCTTTCCCTCCAAAATCATCATCCCTATTCGTGCTCCCGCCTTTACTCCCAAAGCTGAAGGGCTCGTGTAGTGACTTCCACGAATATGCATCTCCTCCCCACACATCCTCAGGAAGCTTCTTATTATCCATCAAACAACTGGCCCCTCTACCACCATGACCACCACCACCACCCTCAAACCCATTTGGCGTTCCCCTGGAATTCTGGGGCGGGTCACCTGCCAATGCCGTAGCATTAATCTCCGAGCCACGCAATAAGGTTGTGTTCCCCGAAAGAATATACACCGATCCAGCTATAATATGAGCGTTGGAGGCCAACCTGAACTCCCCCGTGATGTTAATCTCAATGGAACAGCCTAGGATAGGGCAATTCAGTACCACGCCTTGGAGAACAATCAAATTCCCAATTCCCTCAATGTACACATCCCCTGTAAAGTTCAAGCTGTAATTGAGCTCGCACGTGGTGTCGACGGACCCAATTCCTTGCAGAGCGTCGCACGTGATTGAAGGAGGGTGAGGCGAAGGAGGCGCCAGCGGGGAGTAATCGCCGCGGATGAGATCCGAGTTGCTGGGATTGTCATCAATAATCGAAAAATCGGATAAGGAACCAAACGCGGAATGGAAAATCAAAGAACAGGTTAGAAAAATTTGAATAGCTGAGATCAGAATCCACAGTTCCTCCATTTAAAAAACTCATCAGAGATTGAAAAATTAAAGAAGAAAAACTAAAAGTTGCGCTCTATAAAGGAACATATGAATGGAAGAAAAAATTGGGGAAGAAGACGAAGAGGAGGGGCGACGAGATCGGTGACAGAGAGAGGAGGGTGCGGTTTCTTCTTCCCTGCTGGTTTGCTCATTGCAGGAAAAGTGGGAAAATATGGATGGCGGCCCCATCACGCTGAGTAGGATATGTGGATTGAATCTATTTTTAATTTTTTAGCCCTCGCCGGGAGCAACAAATTACACTATCAACACAACTCACGGCTTCTTTCTTTTTCTGCATTCACCTTGCTTTATAATATAGCACTCACAAATGGTGAAAAGGGTAGTAGTGTTATGTTCGCCATATTTAGAACAGGTTGGTTTGATAATATCCAAATCAACTGAAGCCACGTGATTTATGAGTGGAAAATAAAATATATTTTACTCCGTATTAATAAAAGAAATAGAGAATTATATGAAAAATTAGCTGAAATGAGCTTCTACAGTAATTTCAGCCAATACAGTCAGAAAAGTAATTTCAACCATACTTTTTCTTCTTATTTCAAAATTCAGCGCGCGAAATCAAGAGTTACGTGTTTGGTGAAAGAGTCGGTCGATAAACCTCATAAGTTGAAAAACCGAACTATCAAATGGGCTCTTAGAGTGATTGCACATTACAAGTTACAACTCATCTTCACGGTGGCAATTAGGATTTAGTCATTGGGAGAGTCAAGAAGGAACGCAAACAATAAAAAGAAAATTCTCTAAATACGATTAATATAAAAGGCTAAATTGGCACAAGTAATCTCTACTTTTACACATTTTATAAAAATATTCCGATTTGAAAAGTCCACAACAATAATTCCAACTAGTTAACTATTTTACAAAAATAAACCGAGTGCTAAGGGTGTTAAGTTTTCTGTTAATTTTTTATTTTAAATATATTGAAGCAAAAAATATATATAAATATTGAATATACTATATTTGAGTTTAATCTTGTTTCTACTAAAAATTTAATTAATATTCGACATTTTTCATAAAACATAATAGAAATATTGAACATTACATAGTAGATACGGTTGATCAAATTCTCTATTCTCTTTTATTCCTTATCCATATTTTATTTATATTCATTTTTGGTATTCATTATAATAGAGATTTCAAAGTAGTTGTAATAATAATGCATTAAATATTAGAACAAATGATGTAGAATATTGAGTATTTAATATCGATATTCCTATTATACTTTATGAAAAATATTAAAATGATTGTAGAAAAAAATAAAACTCAAATATAATATTATCAATTCTTATACATATTTTTGCTTTGATACGTTCAAAATAAAAAAAAATTACGGCAAAGCTAACACCGTCACTACTACATTTTTAGACCTAATGTAACATTAAAAATGTAACATATCTATAACAGTGTTACATATTTCTCTAATGTAACACTTTTTAGACCTAGTGTATCACTTTCTAGAAGTATAAGTGTTACATTTTCTCTAATGTAACACTTTTCAGTGATATTGTAACACTTTTGGGTGATACTTTAGGGGTTGAAATGTTGTAGTGCGTTAGCACTCGGATTATTATTGTGAAATAGATAACTGGTGGGAATTATTTTTGTGAATTTTATCAATAGGGATTTGTTTTGTAAAATGTGTAAAAGTAAATATTATTGGTGTCAATTTCCACAAATAAAAACAAAGTTCATAAATTGGATTATCATTGTTTGATTTTCAAAATAGAACTTAATCACTCCTATTTTTGGCAAACTTTAATCAAATTATTTTAAAAGGAACCAAATAAGCTCTATTTGAGAAGTAAAACATGTTTTCGGTCATATAAGTAATTATTTCATGAGAAATTATCTTGTCAAAGCTACTTGACACGACCCACCGTCGGGATGTGGGATGCCTATGTTGAGGTGTTTCCGTGTGATTTTTTTTAATGAAATTTTGTGACAATGTTCTTCATGATTTGTAGATTATTTACACCAAATTTTAGTTTAAAATTCAATCGGCAAGTTGATTGATAAATTATTGAAAAACATTGTGCCAAAATACATATAAAAAACGCAGTGTTTTTCCGTAATTTATTTAATTGACTTCCCGATTGAAATTTAAGCTGACATTTGATGAACATAATTTATACTTCATGAAATACATGTTCACAAAATGTCATCAAATATTTTTACCCAGAAGCATCTCAAATGGAGGCTTCTATTAGATAGTTCTAACCCGCTGTTTTTTTTTCATATCTAATACCAATGATACTTAAAAATTGAAAAAAAGATGGGTGGGGGGCAAGGCCCCCTAGCTATATACATACCTCCGTCCATGCAACTTCAATAGTCAATAATGATTAATGAAACCCCTTTTTTACAGAGAAAAAGACTCACATGTCAATAATGATGAAAAGAGTCATGTTGTCTCACAAACACCAAGTGGATCATTCAATGATCAAGGTTGAATCTCATCAATCACCAAGTGGGTAATTCAATTATCAAGATTGAATCTCATCAGCCAACAGAAGCTATTAAACCACCCAAGTCTATAAATACAATGGAAGTGTGGTGAGTTAAAAGTGTGTAGTTAAGAAGGTCATACGAGCTTATACGACATATCTAACAAAGGAGCAAGTGTCAATTTGTCACTCGTCTTCTTAGCTCATTCCGCTTCACTAAACTCTTAGTTAGATTACTAACAGAAATATTTTTAGAGCATAGATTTGTTGGATGTTTAAAAATTTTGTAAACTAAACAGGTTGTAACCTCTAGAGTGCTTCGTGATCATTTACCACAGAGAGTGATGGATTTTAAAGGGATCCAAACATATATAATTTAAGAGAGATTAAGCTCAAGAATGGAGAAGAAGATGATGAATAGTAATGTATGAATGAGTAATGTTTGTTCTAGGTTTACAAGAGATTCCAAGAGGAGTATAAATAGAGAAATAATGGGTTGTGCCGCTAATATGGGCCCGATAGGCCTAACTACATAAAAGACTAATATAGAACATACAAATGATATATGAAATCTACAATAATAAAATGATATAAATGACATCTGACAGTCGTGTGTGGGCCGTTGTCCAGTCCCAATAGTCATGAGACCGGGAGTCCGAGTCCATACACTCTATCAGGAGTCCCCCACTCCCTGACTCGAGAGTACTCGAGGCGAAAGGGAGTACAGCTATGTACTGATCTGTCGTCATCGTCTGGTGGGTAAACTTTGTAAAAATTTTGAATTTGCGCTTCTGTGGTGACTGAGGCGTTAAGTCCCCTGCTCTTCCAGTCCCCCACTCTTTGAGGCACATGTAATGAGATGAAAAGGAGTAGAGTGATGCATGTCTTCAATAGGGGGGGCAAGGGTTGACACCTTTTGATCCTCAATGGGGAGATGCCTCGTTAAAAACCTCATTAGGAAAAAACTCAGTGGGAAAAAATCCTAATGAGGGGAAAAGAGTACATCGGATGCCCCCAAAATGAAGCAAAAGGTGTGAACCCTTCGGCCTAGGTGTGGGGCTGCAATGGTGTCCGTCTGCTGAGGGGATGCCTGAGATCAGTCTCTAGATGCAAGTAGCTCAGCATGATAACTAGTCCTAGTCATCAAATAAAGATGACTAAGAGATAGGTCAAGTGACCGTCCATAATGTGATGTCCCGGTCATCAAATAAAGATGACTAACAGATATATGACCATGGGGCCTGTATGAGATCCACATCATCAAATAAAGATGATGAGTCGATATATGGCCAATGGGCTTATATGAGAGCTCCACGTCATCAAATAAATATGACGGGGTGATGTATGGTCGAGGGGCATGTATGAGAGCTCCATGTCATCAAATAAAGATGATGGGGCGACATATGACTCAGGGGCCTATATGAGAGCTCCATGTCATCAAATAAAGATGACGGAGTGATGTACGACCGAGGGCCTATATGAGAGTTCCACGTAATCAAATAAAGATGACGGGGCAATACATGGCCGAGAGGCCTATATGAGAGCTCCATGTCATCAAATAAAGATGATGGGGCGATGTATGGTCGAGGGGGCTGTATGAGAGCTCCACATCATCAAATAAAGATTGTTAGTACCCAATTTTGATAGATTTTGATGATGTCATTATACTTTGCTCTTGTACTTTTTGTTCTACTTACTTTGAGTGACAGTGTCCAAAATTGATCAAAGTAATAAAGGACGAGCGTCCCCAACGCCGTCCTTCATCATCAGGGGACGAGCGTCCAACTTTGTCCATCTTTAGGTGGGCGCCAATACCCAGTTATTCATCAAAGGATGAACGTCCCCAACGCCATCCTTCAGCTTCAGAGCTTGGTCCTTTATACCGGCGTCGGTCTGGTTCATTTGTGAGTAATCTGTCACCCCAGGGGTGAACCGGCGCCGGTCCAGCCCAAAACCGACGTCGGTCCAGTGCATTTTCGACCTAAAAGTGTCCGTTTAGCCTGTTTTCGATCCGGTACTTCGAGTAGAGTGTCTTACATCATCTATAAATGTAGGAACACTACCGATCAATGGAAGAAACGCTAGAATTCTCATTGATACCGAGGCGCGGCGTTCATTTGTGAGTGAAGTGTTCGCCGAAAGTCTTGACGTGCCATTGACACTGATTGTAACACCGCCCCCAAGTAATTGTACTTTATTAAATTATGTATTGAACCCTGAGAAATGAGTAAACGCATTTTACGTGATTGTAAATTTTTATCATTTCTTTTACGTGAATAGTAAAATTCACGTGGGGCCCACACCGGGAGTGGGGGCCGACCGATATTATCGGGACCACATATTACATTCATCTTGGCCTAGATAATATGTATGTGGTGGTGGATATCCAATTTGGGCCGTGGCAAAGGTACAGGGTTGACCGGTTGGTCAGACGAGGCCTGATTATCAGTATCAGTAATTTATCAGATAACAGCCCGAAAAGGAATTTCGGAGACTTCTAAATTAAATTCGAGGAATGTATATTCATTATAAGGTTCAATTTTGGCTGTGGCAAAGGTATAGGATTGACCGGTTGGTCAGACGAGGCCCGATTATCACTATCAGTGATTTATCAGATAATAGACCGAAAAGGAATTTCGGAGACTTCTAAATTAAAGTCGAGGAATGTATATTCATTATAAGGTTCAATAATGATGGATGACATGTGTCGTATTTTATCTGACCTGATAAAATAAAACATAATTAAAACAGTCCGGAAAATACAACGTTCGGGGCCGATTGTACACACCATGTTATAAAGGG